ACACTGACCGTTGGTCTCACCCATAAATAAGTAAAAAGTTTTTGTTTTAAATCCAAGCTATTGTGACACCAGATGTAAGTGGTGGCATTGACTGGGGAAATGGGCACAGTATGCACTGTGAGCCTGACACAGAAGCTGGCAGCAGTGGCAGACAACTGACTGCTATTCAATCTATAACAGTGAAAAAAGTTTTTTGTTTTTAAATCCAAGCTATTGTGACACCAGATGTAATTGGTGGCACTGACTGGGGAAATGGGCACAGTATGCACTGTGAGCCTGACACAGAAGCTGGCAGCAGTGGCAGACAACTGACTGCTATTCAATCTATAACAGTGAAAAAAGTTTTTTGTTTTTAAATCCAAGCTATTGTGACACCAGATGTAATTGGTGGCACTGACTGGGGAAATGGGCACTGTGAGCCTGACACAGAAGCTGGCAGCAGTGGCAGACAACTAAGTGCATTTACATTAGATAGAAAAAAAAAATCCAAAAAAAGCATACCCTTATCCCTAACCTAGCTATGCTTTTCCCTATCTTATGAACAGCAGCTACACTTTCCCTCCTCTTACTAAGCATGCAGCTTGAGAATGAATCTAAAATGGATGCTGTCCAGTAGGTGGGAGGGTCTGCTAGGGAGGCTGTGCTGCTAATTGGCTGGAATGTGTCTGCTGACTGTGAGGTACAGGGTCAAAGTTTACTCAATGATGACGAATAGGGGGCGGGTCGAACCGCGCATATGTTCGCCCGCCGTGGCGAACGCGAACATGCTATGTTCGCCAGGAACCGTTCGCCGGCGAACCGTTCGGTACATCACTAGTCGCCATATGGGCAGTCGGACTCCAGGACAACCCTCCCACATACCTAACCCAATAATGCACTGACACTAGGGTATATGGGAAAATTTGTCCACAGCTTTATTAAACAATCTGAATAATAATAACCATATATTCAACATAACATAATAATAGTAATAATTTAACAAATAAACATGGGTCATTGCCCCCCATACTCTGCCTCTGCATCCGATTCCTTCTGTTAATATAAAAGGCAATGACCCCCATATAAATAACACATATATATAACATATACCAACATTATTCCAACATACCAACCTAAAGTGCCAACATAAATTTAACCATGGCAGGGGTATACCCGGATACCCCTACAACACCAGGTTCTGAGCCACCGACAGGACTCGAAACCTACCAACCACCAATGACCACAGTTTTCCATATCTGTCACGTTCATCCTAGGGAGCCTATTCCTTCTCCTTCAGCTCCCTATCCCGCCGCTGTGAAAAAACGGGATATCCCCTAACCATAACAATATCTATAGGGAGGGTGGGCGGGACAAACTTGGTCAGGTAGGAAATTAGAAGTGAGCTCACTTAAAATGGCTGCCTATTTAAATAGCCCAGCCTATTTACCCATAACTCCATACTTCCTTCCCTCCTCCTATGCCCGCCTCCTTACCCCTGTCAAGGCCCTTTTTCGCTTAGCTGTGCTTTGGCTACATGGGGCTACATTACTTGTTTCTTTGTAAGGGGCTGTGGCCATTTTTGTATGGCTTCCACTTTGGCTTCCTGTGGTTTAACCAAACCCCTCCCAATAGAATAACCTAAGTATTTTGCTTCCTCGAAACCAATTGTACACTTGGAAGGATTGGCAGTTAAGCCCGCTGAGCGGATAGCATCAAGCACCGCTTGAACTTTGGGGAGGTGGGATTCCCAGTCTGCACTGTGGATGACGACATCATCCAAGTATGCTGCAGCATAACGAACATGAGGTTTAAGAATTCTGTCCATCATTCGTTGGAATGTGGCAGGTGCCCCCTGTAATACAGGCCTGCAATACAGTGTACTGAAACAGGCCACTGGGTGTTGAAAAGGCTGTCTTTTCTTTGGCTCTTTCAGTGAGAGGGGCCTGCCAGTAACCCTTTGTTAAATCCAAGGTTGTTAGATAACAAGCTTTACCCAGGAATTTAGTTTGTTTATTATTATTTAAAGCACCTGTTTTTCTTATCAAATAAAAAAGAAAACTGAGCTGAATGTATCCTGGACTTTTTATACCCTAGAAGGCTGTGGTTACTGCAAGATCTGTGACAATTCAACCTGTAAAAGAGGTGGTTTGTTACAACCCCTACATGCACACATATACTCTATATAAAAACATGCTTACATTCAAATTCACAAACACTGTTCACAAAGACAACCCTACAAGAATGGCCAAATGGTGGATC